GGGTGAAATTATGCAAGAACTTCTCATCTGTGCTGCCTAAGGATTTCACCAATCGTCCTCAACTCTCTATCCTTTATAGGTTACCTTTAATCAAAAGTTTTTTCTAATAACAATAGTTCAAATCTAAATTCTCATTAACTGGTTTCAAGAAATTGTTTTGCAAGGGATGCAAAATAAGTTATTTCCACTGAAGCAATATGATTATCTTCAACAACCAAGACGCTTCAGGGACTTCTAAGACAGTAGCTATTTTTTAGTATCTACTAATTAAGAAAATGATTACATTATTATTCATTCCATTTCATTAATCATACAGAGAAACATCTAGATATGAGAATCAGTTGTAGGTATATAGGGTATATTATTCATTTGGGTACAGCTAGAGCTTAGTTTTTATATGGGAACCACCAACAGTGAAAATTTGAGTTTTAGTGCTAGATTTACATTTAAACTCTAGCTCTCCTCCTAGCTGTGTGGGTCTCAGGCTAGTCAAGTCATTGATAAAATCTGGATATCCCCATCTACCATGTAAAGACACTATAAGGATAAGAATCAGAAATGTTTGTAAACTTTTCAAGATACTGCATGGCACATACTAGGTGGCACATAAATGATAGATAATATTACAACTGTATCCTGTTTCATCTGAAAGCAACTCTAGTCTCTCCCAAATGCTTCATAAAAGAATTAGGTATTTAAAATGCTGGTATATATGTGATTAAGCTGAGAGGTTCTTGAAATACATAGTATAGATAGCTATTAAGCTAATTAATGTTAGGTTACCAATGTTATCTTTTTGTGTGTGTGGGGGGAAGATCAGCCCTGAGCTAACATCCATTGCCAATCCTCCTCTTTTTGTTGAGGAAGATTGGCCCTGGGCTAACATGCATGCCCGTCTTCCTCTACTTTATATGGGACGCCACCACAGCATGGCTTGACAAGCGGTGCGTCAGTGCGCGCCTGGATTCCAAACCTGGGAACCCTGGGCCGCTGAAGTGGAGCATGCGAACTTACCTGCTCCACCACCGGGCTGGTCCCCCAGTGTTACTTTTCATTGCCAAGAATTTAGCAGATTGTGTGGGTATTTCTTACCTTAAGTGTACATAACTAGAATCACAATCTTCTACCTCAGATTTTCAGGAATAGACCAGGATTTGTCAAGTACCTGCCAAATACTCAGCATCAGGAAGAGTGCAGTGATATGAATTATTAGGATTGAAGACTAAACACTAGATTCAAACCCGAGTAATAAGAATGGGACCATCCTTTCCTGTTAGTCATCCTCAATTCACGTGACAGTGAAATCACCAAGCCCTAAGGAACGCTGTCTCATTAGCAATGTTAGAAGGCTATCAGTATGCTTTAAAGGTAATTATAAAAATGATTTCTTTCCCTTGTTTTATTAACACAGTCACTAGAATTTCAATCTCAGTGTTTAATTTTCCCTAACAGTTTAGTTATTTCCAAGAAAAACAATCATTTGAAGACTGGCATTGCAGATAACAAAATATTATTACCCTGCACTGGCTTCTCTTTACCAGACAAACGGTTTCAGTAAAAACAGAACTCCCAATCTGTCTACCTGGTTGCCACTTCACATCCATTAATGCAGCGAAAGTCTTGATTTTTGCCTCTCATAATTATCAAATGAGAAACTCAGTTCAAGGAAAGAGCAGCAGCAAGAATCCTAAAGAACCGGGAACTCCCCCATCAAGTTACACTATACACAACATTAGCACAGATACCAGTGACTTTCATGCTTCTCAAATCTTTTCTTCCATAACACCTGAGGATTACAGAGTCAACGCTTCTACTTTAAAAAAAATTTTTTTTTTTTTTTAATAACTGTAGTCAGGGCAAGAAAAGGAAAACAGTATCTTTATTGTGTGTAGGTCTAACAAACATTCACTGTGTGCACATCCCAGCAGAAACAAAGATCTTTGTTCAAAATATGCTGAAATAAAATAGGTAAACAAACTCCATTAATGAATACACAAAAGGAATGTTATTATTACTTGTTCATAGTTGAGGGTGAAGTAAAAAGAAGGGACATCAAATAATCATAATTATGTTCTGCCCAAATGGCAAATGTAGAATATAACTGCAGGCAAAGAGCAGCTCCTAAAACTCATGAGACGCAGGGTAGGTAACCTGACAACTACTCCTCTGCTTCTTGGAACCTCCCTCTGAGATCACCCCCTCAAATTCCAAACCAGGCTCTTTCAGAGCACAGCAGCTAAAGGCGCCTAAACTCCCTATTGCTTTTGTGGTATTTGGCAACAGAATGAGATGGTTAAAAAAAATCAACCTCTTACTGAGACAAGACACGTCTGAATCCATTTCTCCTGGGGAAGGAAGTAATGAACATTCATGTTCTGCATTTCAATCTCCTAACATGGAATTTAACCAGATAGATATCACTTGAGATTTTAAGCATGAGATATCATAAGTAATGATATACCTGGCCCATAAAGCATTTTTCATTGCTCCACGCTGGAACTAAATGAGTATGAACTCAATAATGCTCTTATTTTGCAACCTATGCATTTATAACAACTTGCTAGAAGAACTTTACAGGCTCAAATTATAGGTTCCAATGAATTTTTGTTTCTGCTTAAGTGGTCTGAGAACTAAACACAATATAAACTTTGTCCCCACCACTTTCTTGTCTTTACAAATGTAGAAGTCACTTGCAAACCAAAACCAATTCCTAAGAGACAGGGGCTAAAAATTTCAGAGACCCAGCACTAACGACCCTATTTTGGTGGCACAAATTTTCCCTCATCCCATCCTTTTGTGATCTCCAGCCATTACGTGTACAGTAGGGGCACAATAGCAGTTAGTCTTCCTCGGGAATGAACAACCAAACACTCCAGAGACCACCTCCAGGGGGCACAGTCTGCCAACAGGGCCGGGCTCCACTTGCTCTCCAGTGGGGTTTTCACAACCTACCAATGTGGAGACTGTTTCGAGAATTCGAGTCTACCTCTTAAAACAAAAGTCCTTTTTGATGGATTTGGCTAACATACTGTATTACTTTATTGTTTAGAAAAACCTCTGCAAACTCGCACACAAGCTCCACCTTTCACCTGGCAGTTTACAGAGGAAGCAGAATAATAGTAAATGGACCCAAAAGTGGTTTTTATACTACAAAGTGACATCACATCAGCAGTAGATCAAAAGAAGCCCTGGGTCTTGGACGGACTTCACGGATGGTGGAGACAAAGTCTGAAAGTCTATTCCTCTGGCTCCGAGTAAAAATAAGTCCAAATATAAACAGGAAAAGACAACCAATATGAAATAGAAAAACATACCTTTTACAGTGGTGTTTACCCCAAAAATATCAAAAACACCAATTTTACTTAAGACTATCGTTCTTTAACATTTCTTATAAGCCAGATGTTTTCCATTCAATTTTGGAGCCTGCCAACACACTTTTAATTGACCCAAGTTATCTTCTGGCTTAGTTTTAGCTTGAATGTTCCCCTTCCAGCTCCTCAATACTCCTTTGTTCTTTATTTCTACCCCAACGTGGCCCCATGTAATCATGCAACCTTATTATTATAGCAATTATATACCCATTCTTATTCAAGGCAACCCTTCTTGCTTCAAATGGAGGAGCGTTAAAAGTCAGACCACTTTTGTTATATAATAACCAAAGTTTTTTTTTTTCAATAAATTGTCTTAAAGTGGCATCTTATAATACATACAAAACATTTTCTAAAGATAAAAGTTTGACTATACCCATATCCCTGATATATAAAAGTCAGCCAGAAACCCCTTAAAATTACTCCATAATATCATATTCAAGTGTGTAAATACAAGGTTAATATTATTTTGATGAATTCTAAATTCACTCAACTGCTAAATCACAGGATACAAGACCTGGGTTGAACTTTTTCTTAAATAGTTTGCATGGGCAGGCACGGGTTTGCTGGGCAGTTTCCTGCTTGTCAAGTCCCTGACAAGCTGAAAGAGGGGAGGAGATACTGAGCAGTGCCCATGGTCCTTCTGGAACCAAGCTGTTTATGACAACGGCCGCATATGACAATGGCTTAGAAGCAGACTGGTAATCCTCAAAGGATGGGGAGAAAAATCACCACAAACAGCTGTTGGCAGAAAACAGCGGGGTACTGAGGTCTCCTCAGGTGCTTTCACAGAAAAAAAGTAAAGTCAAATATGCTAGAGAAATTACTGAACCAGGAAGAAACAGTAACATAATTCTAAATAACAAACTACTCCTCAATGAAACACTCACCTGAGAAAAAAAACTACCAGTTTTTAATTCTCAATGGAAAAACAACAAAACCACAAGTTGGAGCCATGGAGGTAAAATACAGCTGAAATGGAAAACATTCTCTTCCTTTCAATCTCCCCCTTTCAAATGCCACTTTACTATGGAAGGTATTTTACTGGGGCAAACAGAAGATCAAATACTGTATCTTTGATCAATTTGAAGTCTCTTATTTTTGTCAAATGGGGAATAAAAAAATTGCTAATCAATAAACAAAAAAGCAGCAAAAATCCCTGGTAAAGCTCTACAGACGTAACTATGAATTTATATTTTACCAATAAAAGATGGTTAGGGGGGAAAATAATATGGCTAGAAACTGGTGGCAAACCAAAGTAAACAATGAAGTCTTTGGTGCTTTTTCTAAAATAGTGTTTTTCATTATTTTTCAAAAGAAAGATTACTAAGAATTCTCCCCATCACCCCAATTCACCTCTCCCTTCCCGTTTCTCCCTACTCCCAAGAAACAAATGGGAAGCATAGTTCTGTCCAGCACCATTTGGCGAACTCAGGGAGTGGCAAGAGAGCTACCTGCCACGCTAGCTCAGGAAGGGAAAGATGATCACATGGTTCTTTCTAGTTTTAACAAAGAGAAACAAGGAACAAGATCATTTGGCAGTTGTGTTTTAAGTCATAGGTGTGCACTTTTACTTCATGAATTAAACCCCTTATGATAAACCATACAATTAAGTCAGAATTTTAAAAAAAAAATTTACTTAAAAGAAAAATGGAAAAAGAAAAGCTTCAAAACCAGAGTATGCTGCCCTGTTAAGAATGTCTAGGGTGCATTCAAAGTATTGGAAAGCAGGCATTGTTACCAAAAGGCAATGTCACTAGGACATATGGATTGTAATTATAAAAGAAAGTTTTGAAATGTAAAGGTGTTCGTGCAAACCAGTGAAGAGAGGACACACTGGCAAGGATACAGAAAAACGGGCAGGTGCTTTGGGAGTAAGACTCTGAGAGACGAAGGACACTGGCCCCGTGTCTGAGGTGGATGTGTGGCCAATCGTCTGGGCTCCAAGGGGGAAAAATACAACTGGCAGAATTCAAGAAGAGGATACCACTGCAGCCTCCAAACAAGTCTCTAGTTTCCACTCCCAAGTGCGTATGCTTTCCAGACTCCAACAAGGTCTCCTCAGGAGGATTTGCTTTCCGACGTGTAGTAACGATACAGGAAACCTAAGAGAACAGCGCCTATGATGGGGAAAATCCAATACGACCAGCAACTAGAAGTGGGGGAGAAAGCAATAAAGTCGTGAACATTTTGTACCAAATGTTCGCCATCCTTCAACATTCACATTTTAATATTTTTATGAGCAGAGTTCTGATTTACTTTGAGAAATTTAACTGCTTTTATCACAGTAGTTGGAAAAAACAAATATTTGAATTGGAGTGACAATATTTAATCAACAATTTTAAAAAGATTAAAAACAGAATGTATAGTGTGATACCAAAAAGAGATATATACACACAGTTCTGTATGTGTTTTTACAAAGACATAGAGTGGTTATTTCTGGGTTATGGGATTATGGATAGTTTACATTTTTCTTCTCTGTGCTTTGTTTCTGAAATATTCTACAATTAACATTTTTTAAACGGGAAAAAGCCATCATTTTATATATATAATTATAAATTTAGAAGCAATAACATCTACTACAACTATTGGCAACATTATATCTGTCTCATGTATATTTTTTAAATTTAATCCTCACAGGAACCCTACAAAATAGGTACTACTATTATTCTCATGTTATACATAGAAAATACAAGCTTTGCACCCCAAATCACAAAGTGAAGTTAGTCAAGGAGTCTGATTCCAAACCCATTCTCTTAATCTCTAGTTGATACACACACACACAGAACATGTCGATAGTTCTAATAAAGTTAAGTAAATGGCAGTTGGCTTAAAGAGTCCTGTAAGAGACTTTCCTTACGAGTTTGAGGACAATCATCATTCTCCTCAAAATAATTCTTCTCAAATAGAGCTTATTAGCACTGTTAGTTTTAAGGTATAATTCTTCCATGATCCAAATAACCTGCCTGCCCCTCTACTTAACAGATAGATAATCTTGGTATTAAAAGATTTTGAGGGCCGGCCCCATGGCTTAGTGGTTGAGTGCGCGCGCTCCGCTGCTGGCGGCCCGGGTTCGATCCCGGGCGCGCACCGACGCACCGCTTCTCCGGCCATGCTGAGGCCGCGTCCCACATGCAGCAACTAGAATGATGTGCAGCTATGACATACAACTATCTACTGGGGCTTTGGGGAGAAAAAATAAATAAATAAAATCTTAAAAAAGAAAAAAAAAAAGATTTTGAAGGTGAGGTTCAATAATAAAAATGACTCTCTTTGCCTAAACATGCCTAGAACTTTGTACATTTAAGTATGGCAGAAAGCTGCTCTGGACAAGTTTAGAATGTCAGCCAGGTACCTTTGTTTAAAAAAACAAGCAAGTTGGCATGTACAAGAGCAATATGACACATAGGAACTTTGAAGTAATCTTCCCCTAAAAGTAATGAATTCAGATACCTTGGAGAGTAACACAAGAGACAGAGAGCTCAAAAGTAGGATCCTGGAGAAAACACTAAAAAAGAGAAATTCTTCAGTACAAAAGACTGAGAATGGCTGACCATCAATCCTCACGTAATCCTTCGTAATACTTGACTGCCACTGAGAACAGAACCAAAGGAGATGCATCTATACTGCACCAAAGGAGATTTAGGATTAACAATAACTCCTTGGCCATAAGACAGAACTCCCCTCTCAGAGGTTCATTCAGGTTATTGCAGGTAGTTGTGATTCATTTATTTTATTGCTTTGTAGTATAAAAAGCAATACTGTATGAAAACACCAGAATGAATTCATTCATTTTATTAATGACTGGCTACTTGGGTTGTTTCCAATATTTTAATATCTTGAATAATGCTGCTATGAACATTCTTGTACGTGTTTCCTAGTATATACGTGCATACATTTCTCTTGAGTATATCCCGAGAAATGGAATTGCTGGGTCAAAAGTTATTCATATTGTCAAATTTACTAGATAATGCCAAATTGTTTTCCAAAGTAATTGTTCCCCTTTACATTCCCCTAAGAGGGCCTAAGAACCCTGGTGATCCACTTCCTAAACAATTCCTGTTATTTTTAATTTTTGCCAATCTGGTAGGTGTGAACTATACCCTATGATTTTACTCTGCATCTCTCTGAAGACGAATGAAATTAAACCTTTCATATGATTAGATTTGTGTTTCCACCTCTGTAAGGTGCTTCTTTAAGTCTTTTCCTCATATTTTACTAAGTAATTTTTTTAAGTTAATTTGTAGGAATTCTTTAAGTATTCTGTGTAATAATTCTGATTCAGTTTTATGTGTAGCATAAGTCTATTCCAAGTTTGTGCCTTGTATTTTCAAATTCTTTATGAAGCATTTGGCTGAGCACAAGTTCTTAATATTAGGGAAGCTAAATTTACTAACAATTTCTTTTAAGTTTGCACTTCTTTAATACTCTGTCCATCACCTCAAATAAAAAAGATGAAATACTTTCACGGGAAAAAAAGACATTTTTCTCTCCCTCTCTGAAATGCTTTAAGTGGCATCTCAGAAAGATAAAACAAACAGCTTTATATAATCTCTATAAAGATTTTTTACAAGCCAAGGATTCCACAGTTATCTTAAGTAGAGACATCTAAGGGATGGTAAATTTATACCTTTCAGAGCTAATACTACTGTATTACTAATATTACTACAAGGGATATTTGTAAATAAACCTTTGAGAAAACCCAAATTCTTGAATATGACTGCAATACCTAATTTTTTCTTCTGTAAAATGTAGTAATAGCACCTACCTTACAGAGTGGTTATGAGGATCAAATAAGATTAAGTTTTAAGTGGAAGTCGCATAGCTGGGCTGAGCTGCAGAGACAGGGACTTGACTTAAAAGTAGTTACTTGTCCATGCATACGGGCCTCTGAGTATGATTCCAATTTATGTCACAACAAGATTTAAAAATTACTCAAGGCATGAATTTTTGAGATGACTCAAAAATGAGTGAAATTGTAAAATTAATTTTGCTAATGCTAAGGAACTTTTGAATGTGCATTAATTTTGACCAAAAAAGAATTAGCTGTCAAACTGTACTCTTAAGTTATGTTATACATGTATATTTATGGAAGAACCTCTTGCCAGACATTACGTTGAGCATAAGGAAGTCTGTTAAGGGAATACTAACCTTTTGCACGTGTTGTTTTTCAAAGGGTCCTGAAGAAGATGCATATTCAAAATTAACAAACAAAAAGAAAGAAGATTAGCATGGAGTATATCAATCTTCTTGAATATCTTCATAACTCTGTAGCTAATAAGAGAACTTCATTTTTCATGCAATTTGATATTCACAAATCTATATGCGATGGGAAGACTGGGAATTCTATTCCTGATAATACACTGGTATTCCCTAGAGAAGAACCACTAATCAAAGTGTAGAGAAACGACTTACACTTTTTTTAGATGTAAAAATAATGCTATTGACACCAACTATATTGAAATAGACTAATTTGCAGTCACAATGATCTGCCTGGCTCAGTTGGGCTTGCCACTGGCAGTACCTAAGATCACATTTTCTGAAAACATATATAAAAAAATTAAAACTCTTGTTTTATAACATACAGGTCAACTGTGAAACGCTCTAGAGCATGCAGATGTTGCTTTGTGGCTTACAGAAATGAACTGGTTTACTACCTGAAATCATCGTAATTATAATTAGAGACCTTACGCCTTATTTCACAACGAAAGGGGGAAGAATGCAGTTAAACGAAAGAAAATACCAACATAACCTTAAAAACAAAATTTTGGCAATAAAAGGTAATGAAGTACTGATACATGCTATGACATGGGTGAACTTTGAAAATATTATGTTAAGTGAAAGAAGCCAGAAACAAAAGACTACATATTATATAAATCCACTTATATAAAATGTTCAGAATAGGCAAATCTATAGCGGCAGAAAGTAGATCAGTGGTGTCTTAGGGCTGAGGGGAAGAGGATTGGAGGGAAATGGAAAATAACTGCTAATATTATGGAGTTTCTTCTTGGAGTAATGAAAATGTTTCAAAATTGATTGTAATTATGGTTCACAGCTCTGTGAATATACTAAAAACTCTTGACTTGTACACCATAAATAGGTGCACTGGATGGTATGTGAATTATATCTTAATAATAAAGCTGTTGTTAAAATTTTTCAACTCAATTTCAGTAAATATCAAGTCAAGTTACTGATTCCATTAATTAGCTGTATAGTACAAAAGGCCTGCCAACTTATTGCCAGAGGACAATAACCCATTAGCATAGGTTACTGCTTCCCAAAATATCATCTTTGCCAATATGTAGAAGTATGCCAGGGTGTGACCAGAGAATATCAACTCTGCTTAACAATTTTCAGTAATCTCCAAGAATTTCCAAAAACCCTACATACTGGCCTAGATACTTTAGAGCAGGCCATGAAATGAGTTTTAATTTCATATATCCGGAACACTGTCATGCAAATGAATACATGCCCCAAATCTGAAAGAAATTAGCCTATAGGCAAAGTAAAACTTCTAATACAAAGTTTTAGGTAAACCGTATTGATATACTACCACACTTCTCTGAGACCTTGATGACTACTGTTATCTGGGACATTTCTACTAGAATAGCATGAATCAGGCTAATTAAAACATGTTACAGGTCAACCTTTGAGAAATATAACAAATGTTTTACAGATTTGGAAGGTGGAGGTGGTAGCAGTAGTGTGATGGTGGTGTGTGCGTTAAGTTAATTTATAACACTGCCTTTTTAAATATTCCACTATAGTAGCCAAGAAATAATTGAATTCCATCAAGAAAATGTCCATGGTCTTTTATGCTTTATCCACATTTACACCAATGATTTATAAAACAAAAAATGTAGAGTTAGTATTTTTAAAAAATGAGATAATTTGAAAGGCTTCATGAGAGCATTATAGAGTAATATATGTATTATGATAGCTAATCTGTAATCACATTAAAAGCCATATAGTTCACACAAATGGATTCTCTAGATTTCAAAGCTTTTAGCCTCTTTTAGAAGCAAAAGCCCTGGATGTGTGCTAACTAGAGTGAGCCCTAGACAATGTAGTAAGCAACTGAGAGAAGAAAGAGAGGAGGAGAGAGATCAGAGAGAACCAAGACCATAATAAGCTGAAATTGTAATAGATTCTAATAAGCAATAAAAAATTAAAAATACATATATTTTTTAAAAACTAAGTACCTCAATCCCTGTTTTAAGATCAATCCATCCCTGGAGGCAAAAAGACCAACTTCCTTAACATTGGAAGAAAGAGAACAGAAAGAAGTGTACTCTCTCTTTAGGATACTAACAGCCAAGCACATGCCAAATTACAGTGATGCCCCTTTTAATCAACTATAATGAAAGAGTTGTTTAAGGCACTGCTCTTAGTAGCCAAGTACCTCAGCCAAGTTTGGAAAGAAGCCAAAGAAGTTATTTTTAAATTTACAAAATTAAAAAGAAAAAGGTTCTATTAAAACAAAACCTTCCTTCATCTCTACCCTGCCGTACTCTATGCACAGTCCCCCAATTCTCATTTCCACTCCAAAGCTCCGTGCTGAATCTAATGGACGCTTAAGCAAAATTCCTACAGTGTATGACTGACTTTAATTTATCCCTTTGGGTCTTCGGGCATATCTGGCTGGTTATGTTCTTGCCCACATTTTAATTTACATGCAAGATTTTTGGTCAGGAGAACAGTGACTGTTCTCAATCTTTGGCGTGGAAAATAGTGATTGCAATATTATATGATTTTAGTTACAAAAGAGCAGATCAAATGCAGAATTCTTCTAGCAAAAGCCCTACCAAGCAATTAATATGCATGTTTCTTTATTCTCCAAGGAATTTGGAATACACTTCCAAACAACCAAATTGCTTTAAGTCTACTCTGATTTAGTTGAAAATTAACAGAAATTAACTGTTTAAATAAATTGGTTCCTAGGGTTTAAGGTTTATTAAGGCTTTAATTCTCTCATAAAATAAGTAAATAAACATATTTATATACATATAAATGCTAACATGGACTTTGTAGGATAAAAGGAAATATTTCATAATACCTGACTTTTTTATAAAGCTGCTTATAACTGAAATTATGTCTAATATCTTCAAGCTCAATGCTAAATCAGTTTCCCCACTTGTGAAATGAAAAGCTCAGACTAGATGAACTTGAATTCTAAACTCATATTCAATGAACTCAACACAATTTTCTGACCCAAGGGCATTTTAGCAAAACCTACAAGAGCAGCCTTCTAAAGGTTATAGAGAAGGAAACACCATTCTCCCATGTCTAGGAAGGTTGAAGGAACACTGCCACATGTCGATTTTTCTGTTTTACAGCAGGTATATAAAGGTGTGTCCTTCCAGATACTCTTGTGAGAGGCCCTGCACTCTAAGTACTGACCCTCTTTGATACTATGAAAAGACTGATAAAGGAATGCCATAATTGGCAAACAGACGGGAGGCGACTTGGGGGGTCGGTGGGTGTGCTTTTACTACGAACCTTGTTTATGAAAAAACATGGGAGAAGAAAATATACTTAAACAATGGTGTACTTTGTCACCAGGACATAAACATAGGAAACAATGCACCAGAATGATGATTATGATGCATTAAAATACATAGACAGGGCATTCTTTAAGTGTACCTTCACCCTAAATAGTTTATTATTTAGACTTTTAAAGGTTTAAATAAAAGGGAAATATATTATAAGGTATATAATGAGCTTATGTTTTAATTCCTAAATTGGATGTTTGCTATTCCAAAAGGATTCCAAGTATTTAAAATTAGATGAAGTGGATTTTAAGCCACAGGAGATCTTCAGCAAATTTAATGAGTATTTGGGCAGTCTGGTAGTTTTTGCAGCTTTTTATTTAGAACACATTGGTATCTGTGTGGCCAACAACTTGGGAATTTTTAGCTTCAGACACTACTAGAAAGGATTTTTTTTCCTCCCCCATAATATAATGGACTTTATAGCATGAGCTATCACTATATGAACTTTAGTATTAGGTTCATCTTATAACGTAAAAAGTTTGAGTATCGAAAGTACTTGATTTCAACATTTTATAGTCCATGTGGTGTGGATCTTGAGGACAGCCTTCGTGAAGCTCCAACATACTAAAATGTCTTTCTGGATGAGAATACAGTTTAACAATTACTGTCTTATAGAGCATATATCCCTAGAGTCAACCTGGTCATATAAAAAATATTTCCCTTGCAAAGTGAAATAAGTCAGAGGGAGAAGGTCAAATACCGTTATGATTTCCTTCATTAAGTAGTAGATAACAACAACAATAAACAAACACATAGGGACAGAGATTGGATTGGTGGTTACCAGAGGGGAAGGGGGGAGGGAGAAGGGTGAAAGGGATAATTAGGTACATGTGTGTGGTGATGGGTTGTAATTAGTATTTTGGTGGTGAACATGATGTAATCTATGCAGAAATAGAAGTATAATGATGTACACCTGAAATTTTTACAATGTCATAAACCAATGTTACTGCAATAAACAAAAATTTAAAAAATAAATAAATAAAAAATAAATAAAAAATATTTCCCTGAGATAAAAGCAAAATTCAAAGATGAAAAACACCCTCTAAAACAAATTTCTGTATGAGTCTCTCAAGAGCCCATTGTGATAAGGTATATAAGACATCACTGAAGAAAAAAATTAAAACACTCACAGAATAATTTCTACCGGGCCCTAAGAAGTGAAAAACTTGTTGTAATACTGAAGGGCTGATTTGAAAAGGATGTTATTTTGCCCTTCTGACATCTTATTCTGCAGAATTACATATTTCTAAATAGAACATCACAAGGAGAAGATATTAATCCTTGAGATCCCCCAGCAATGGGTGGTCTTTCACAAGTGACTTTGCCATACATTCTCTATTTTATTTCAAAAGACTATGTTACAAAATACAAATGTTAGACAAAAACAAGGAACAAAGAAACAACCTGACAAAATTCTTTGGTAAATGGCCATCAGTACTCATCTAAAGGGAATCTGCAACCCCATTCCAAACTTTAAAAATTAGGCTGCAGGTATGATAGGAATATTAAACAATTCTTGAAATTTTTGGTGTAATGCAACCAACTAACTACATAATTATAAACAATGTATTCTTTTTAGTTTCTCTCCCATAAAAGAGAAGGTAAATTGAATGTCATGTATGTATAATATGCTACATATGTGTAATAAAAATTGTATGTGTAACAAGTCAGTAGCATCTGGGAGAAAAAATGTATCTGCCTTTAATTGCAGCTTGAAGATTGCTTCTAACATATGTGGAATTTACTAGATTTCAAAAGTTAAACTTCTTAAGTTAAAAAATAAAGTTTAAAAAACATATTAAGCCTTTATGGAGACAATCTTATTTGTTTAAAAAAAAAAAAGATTAACTCCTGTTACAGCAAATGTCATCTCATCAAAACTTTGGTCTATGGAATACTAAATATCTATTAAAAAGAATGAGGAAGATCTTTATAAACTGATAAGGAACAATTATTAAGATAAAATTTTTAAGTAAAAAGAAGCAAGGTGCAGAACAATATGTATGGGATTTTTTTAAAGGAAGGGATGGTTGGTCTGCCTATCTATCGATTGATGGATCCATTCAGCCAGCCAGCAGGCCGGCCAGCCACCTGTCTATCCATTTATATTTATGTATGCACAGAATCTTTTTGGAAAAGTAAACAAGAAAATGGTAGCTGGCTACCTCCGGGGAAGGGAAACAGGGAGACAGAATTGGGGATAGGAGGGAGTCATTTTTTATAGTACACTTTTTCATACTATTTGAAATTTTTACCATGTACATCATATACTACCCATTCAAAAAATTTAAATGGGAAAATGGTCAAGTTATTGGGTCTATTCATTGTAATGAGATCTGACTAGTGAAGCAGATGAACTGTCACCTAGATAATGTGTGTTGAATAAATGAATGAAAGGTGCCCATTTTTTTTGTCAGGTTAGCATTTGTATGTACCTTATCTCCTGAACTGATGGCAAACTGAGTGATAAAAGAACTAACCAAGAAGTAAATGCAAAATTAAAAGAAAGATTTCAAGGACCCCAAATGTGTCTAGGTTACTTGCAGTACAGTAGGCAGGCAGGCCGGCTGGCACAGAAAACACAAGGTCTGTTTCTAAGGTGAGTTTCCATAACCTAAAGCAGACCAGAAAAATGTTAACTCAAATATGAATAGAAGGATTGATGGCTCTCAGCATGGGGACCAATCCAGCCAGGAAGAGATTCATAGAGACAAAAAGGTTTTTAATTCTAGTTAGTTATCTTTGACTGAAGCAGGTAAGAAAAACATCTGTTGCCAGATCTGTAGTTTCTAAGCTTTCAAGTTTTAGTATTGTAATATTTCAGGACCTTGAACCTCACGCATTATCAATCTAACAAGAAAACAATAATAACCTTCCATTATTTACCTGTGTCATAGCAAAAGCAATATGAAAGGTAGTTTCAAAAGAACTGGGAAAAGGTTCCTGACTTATATTCTGGAATAGCATGTTCTGCGGTGTTTTTTTTTTAAAAATTTGTCGGGGGGGTAGGCTCAGGGAGGGAAGAGATATGGAGCTGTGGAGGCAGGAGAGGAGAAGTGGAGAAATAAAGAATAAAGGAAAGGAGAAGAGGGAGAAGGGAAGTGAAAACTCTGTCCCACAAGGAAGAAGACACCTCTTAATTAGGCTTAAAAAAAAAAAATCACTTCATAGAGGTTCAGTAACCCTTAACCAAAAGAAAGGAAAGTATTAATGAAATGAACTTTACATCCATTTCTTCATGGTGAATGAAGAAAAATCAAGAAAAGAGACACCTACATCCTAGACACAGAAGGGCCTACTCAAAACTGTAAGAAATAAACCTGAGGGATCAAGAATTTCTTCCTGGAACTGAGATCAGGTTGGACTACAGCCCTATAATAACCTATACAGGTGGTCTTGAAAATTTCCCCCAAGGTTTTCCTTGCCTGATCTGCCCAGAGTACAGCAGTGTGAAACACTCAATAACCAGGCTCTCTACTTAATGGAGACTGTCCTTTGAGTACAACAGCCATGAGGAAAACAGCCTTGACAATGTTGCCTTTAACCACTGTTTAACCCAGGCAGGAGCCAAACTGCATTTGGAGACTTCTAAATTATTACAGAATTTGGTGCGCTAAAAGGGTTTCTTTTTCTATATTTCTTAACCAAAAGCCCAAGGCTCAACAGTTTTAATTTAGCTGTGACATCTCTAATTAATTCTTTGGCCTATAGAAGACAGACAGTGCTTTCCACAGAAGAGAATTAAAATTCCCTAAGTTTTCAAATGAAAAGACGGGCATATCATTCAGCAAAAAGTCTTTATTTTACTTTACTTTAAAAGGAAATTCCCAAGTCCACCTCCAGAGGTTATGAATTGGCAGTGGTGGAAGCCCAGGAAATATATAGTTCAGAAAACACGCAAAGGGACTCCAATATAATATAGGTAAGACAAGGAACAGATTTTGAAAAACACTGCTCTCCATTTCTAAGTATGGTCCTAACTACTACTGGTGCTACCAAAGAAGAAAAACAGCAACAAGAAGCGATTTGTAGACGTCTAGACATTGTAATTCCAAAAGTATTTTTTCTGTCGTTTTAATACAAACAGTGCTCTCACAGTTGCTGTGCAGAAGTGGGTTACAGCTCCTACATACAAAGTGCATCTCTAGTACAAATGCGATTAACCCTTGAATCAAATGTTGACCTCTGAGAGCAATGTTTTCCGGACGTGTTCAATATACTAAACAAGTCCGTGCTTAGTTCAAATTCTACCTTAACTACACAAGTAAGGATTCAAGAATAGATAGTACATGTGTTAGGAGGGGAGGACAAACAAATTAACAGGGCTCACAAAGCATTTAAAGAACCATTTCATTCCCTGTCGTAAACAATCCAACAGTTCAGAGTAGTAGAGTGCAGCAAGACAGAAGAGTTAATTTACACAAACACTCGGGATTGCAAGGCAACAGATGGCAGACACTATCAAACAATCTCGAGTTGAAAGAATTGTTGTGTTTAGGCCAACTTTAATTGCTCTATCAAACATGTTCAGTAATTCCAGCTCAATGAGGCAACGGAAGGAAGAAGCTAGAAGGAGGGAAAGGGGAGGAAGCATCGCCTCCATGATGTGACTAAACTGCTGTCCCTTTAAATCAGAGGGTAGTGTAATAGCTATCTGAAGGATAGAAGTCAAGGAAAACTGGGAGGGAATACGGGAGATGAACCACCCAGCTTGGGGGAAGCAAAAAGGCTTTCATATTTTCTTCCTGTACATTATGCAGTGTACATTAAGGTTTTCAAATATTTAATTTTTTTGTTTTTGCTGTATCACTGAGTAAACGGGAAGGGTATAGGCTCATTTAAGCCTACACCATAAAAGGATTAAATTTGGGAAGCAGGGACAGAAAGGCCTGTTCCAGTCAATTACTTCAGTCTACAGCTCCTTCTAACACTTTTAAGAGAAAATCAACTTTCCAATTCTTTTTCCAACACAGAAGCAATTATTATCACCTGTACTATTTAATGTAAAAATAAGGAATACTTTTCTACAATTGAACCCATAAACTAATTTCTTTCAAAACCATACAGGGCATGGCTTTAGAGTTTCAATTTTTTTTAAAGCAAATAGAAGCATGAACAAAATGTTTCCTACTGTTCAAGACTCAGCTATTCTTTTTTCCTGAGATGAGACTGAGTCCAAATTCCTGAAAAATAGGATTTTTGCTTGGGGGAAAAGTAAACACTTCTCTTGTTAAGATAATTTGTTTAAAAAGCAATTCTATTTAAGTAAATAGAAATATAAATACTTGAAACACACAAGAGAAACAGATGACTTCTTACCTTGCTACCACCCTCAGGTTTAAGGTCACTCTGTTAAAAGAGGAAAATAAATAATATTTTAAGACATATACAAATGAACTCTCACCATGTGCTTGTTTCTAACCTCGGAACATGAGACTACATTCTGGTAGTAGTGAACATATCACCAGGGTCCCCTGTTAGAACGGTATGGTTTAAAAAGTCCATACTGACCACCTTTTAGCAAAGAATTTCCAAGAACAACCAAACCACTATTTCAGGTAGAGATGCATTAACTCAACGCAATTATTAACTGCATTACAAAAACCAAGCAAGTAAAAAAAAATCTGAAATCAGTTCCCTTAGCTTTTCAGAGATATAGAAGCTATATCTTAGCACAGTAAGGCTAGATGATTCTGGAGAAAATTTAGCCTGATAGCTAGGTTGAATGAATTCCCATTTTAATAATTCATTCTCTCATCATGTTCTGTGGCTGCTCAGTAGCTTCCTCTCCACAAGCACTCCTGGCTCAGTTAGTTCTTACCGGATGCACATCACCGATATAGTACTGCTTTAGCATTTCTCTGGCATCAGAGGAGTGGCCTACATCTTCAAAGCTTTCACTTGCATCTGCACCAGCTTGTTCTAGCAGAACCTCTTCTCCACCAGGATGCTACAAGGAAAAGATATTGACTGAACAGAGGGCTCTCTGAAAAGCAAACTAATATGTTACTTTCCCCTCCCCCCTCCCCCTCTTTTCTCTCTTTTCTCCCTTTAATAGGATGAATCGACATTGTACGCCACCTGATAGCATGCAATGGGAAGAACACAACATAACTTCTGTGATATTTTGACCAAAAATGCATCATATAATCGTGAGGAAACCTAGGACAATTGTAAATTGAGAGATATTCTACAAAATGACTGGCCTGGGATCTCCAAAAATAGCAGTCATGAAAGCCAAGGAAAGACTGAAGGAGGCTGGAAAAACATGACAACTGGGAACAATGTGTGCTCCTGACTTGATTCCTTTTCCAAACATTATTGAGACAGCTGCAGAAACCCGAATGGATACTCTGGGCAAAGGGCATACGGAATTCTTTATTCTATTCTCGCAACTTTTCTGTAAGTCTGAAACGGTTTCAAAATAAAAAGTTAAATAAATAAATAAATAGTACCAAAATAACTGCCTCTATACCTGGGAAGTTAATTCTATCTATAACTTACATGCTATATAACCCAGGACAAGTTATTAAAAAGTTGAGATGTCTTGGGGCTGGCCCAGTGGCGTAGTGGTTAAGTTCACGCGCTCCACTTCAGTGGCCCAGGGTTCGCTGGTTCAGATCCCGAGCGTGGACCTATGCACCACTCATTAAGCCATGCTGTGGCAGCATCCCATATACAAAATGGAGGAGGATGGGCACAGATGTTAGCTCAGGGCTAATTCTCCTCAGCAAAAAAGGAAGATTGACAACAGATGTTAGCTTAGGGCCAATCTTCCTCACCAAAAGAAAAAAAAATTGAGATGTCTTTGTTTCCTTATTTGTAAAATGGATATAATGTGAGTACCTACCTTAACTACTGTGAGTATTAAATGAGATAAGGATATGAAATACTTTGTACTCAAGAAGAGAACAGTATAGTTTGTATAATATGCTATCATCTATGATTTTAAAAAGCAGATACATATACGCGTGCATATGCAAAAAATCTTTCTGGAAACACTGAAAAGAACCTGGGGACAGGGAGACAGGGTAGAAGGAAGACTTTTCACTGTATACCCTCTTGAAATTGTTTTACCAAGGAAAGTATCACCTACTCAGAAAATAATTTTTTAAAAATTACATTTAGTCCCTGATTTAAAGTAAACATTAAATAAACATTTACTTATTACTAGCAAATTTAGAATTTACACTATTCGACATATCTAAATTTATATTTTTGAAATATCAAGTAATGCTTTTTTTTTTTTTTTTTTTT